AAAATTTGTCACGTGCAATAAAGTGCTCTGAAATATGAAACGCCACGAGTCGCGAGATAAAATCCGAAGGCGACATACCCTCTGAAAGCACGTAGGAAGAGAACCCGGTCTGAGGCACGGAGCGGCTGTTGGGATATACCTGTGCGCGTATACGTTTCAATACAATCATTCATTAGGGGAAGATTAATAATGAGCCCGTGACGTTTTCCCGGGGAGGAGGCGGGGGAGGCGTGATGTAATATGAACGGGTGCAGAAATAGCCCTGGGATCATATTAGTTCAACGCCCTCACCAATGTTTTAGTTGCCAGATTTTTCCAACGGCACGGATTTCATCAGTGGTTTACCTTGTAATTTTCCGCCTCCGTGGGAGTGAGATGCGCTGGAACATGGACTTCACATCACCAAGTTGTTTTAAAACATTAGCGATCGTTTTATCAGTCTACATTTAAACTATTATGGGATTTTTGCGAAAATTCTGAGGGGTTTAGATTTGAATCAGTGAGAACGAAAACACACCAACTCGAAAAAATTAAAATAATCAAGACATACACAAACCTGCACATTAGGAGAAGAAGTTAGTCTAAAAAAAAGATTGTTGGTGCCTAAAAGCGAGTAATTCAGGAAACTTTAAATGTTCAAGTTGGCACAGATACGGTAACTTCAATGACCTTTATGAAAAGTGTCTGGCCTTAGTGAAAAGAGAGCATTTTCGAGGAACCAAGTTGGTGTGTTTTCGTTCTCACTGATTCATTTGAGTTATTTACTAAAATTTTTAACGAAGAGGATTTTTTAAGAGAATTATTAAACGAGGTTGCCTTTGCATGCTTGCGGGTTTTTTGTTCAGTGTGTGTATACTTAGCTTCCTGAAAACTTTGATAACGCACGTTGAGTGATAATTTTAATTTCTGAGTTTTTATGTTCTATCAGCTTTTTATTCGATTAATTGGTCTTTTTAAATTGTTTTTAATAACCCAAATGTAACATTCATTGTGATATCACATTAATGAAGTGACTTTTTTGTGAACTTTGTGATATTGGTGCTGAGGCTGGAAGCGTAGTCCGAAATGCACGTACACATAACAGAAATAAAAACAAAAGCGTACAAACACAAGACTGTTCACTTATGAATTCTCTGCATTAGTAACATGCAAAATGCGTTACTTCAATGATTTTTGAATGGAGCAAAATGTCAGGTCTACGTTATTTTTCCAAGAATATTTTTAAGCTCAAAACTGGCGAAAAAACATAACAAAAACAAAAAAAACACAACAAAAACAAAAAAAACAAGGAAAATCGTTTCGGAAGCCAACATTTTGAGACCTGAGATTTTACAAAGAGTTAACAAACATAATTGATTTTTATCTCAGGAATCAGGAGCTTGCAGAATTGCTCTGAACTCTTTTGAGCTTTGATAGGGGATATATTCTCACCGGACTCCTACCAACAAAAGAACACAAAAAAATGTGGGCATAGTGTCGGAATAGATCTTTAAACCCACTAATTCTTTGCTACTAACTTGTCTGGCTTTTAATTTCCCTGATTGCCCTGTCATCTGTCTCCGTCCTGAAAAAATCAGACTGATCATGAGCTTAAAACTCATTAATAATCGCTACATCTAAATAGTTTGGCAACATTGAGCATATCACACTAGTTAGGTGTCCGTCTATTTGATGTCTATAATTTAACATCTTGATCGATTGATTATCCGGAGTATGTCGGGCTTCTTCTTCCTGGTTTTTAATCCAGAAGAAAATTAATTTTTAGGACCTTTTTTTATTTTTTGGGTTTACGGTATGACCAATTTCAAGCCTTTTGAAATTTTTCATACCCAACTAAACTTCGTGATTTCTTTCGTAGGGGCTACGCGTGATTTCAAATTCAACTTTAGGACCAATCTCTGGAATACATTAAGAGCGTCGCACACTGCGACACCTGCACATGCATAATTAACAAGAAAGAGATAGATTTTCTGTAACAACTGGCAACGAGTATATCTTCCTAGTACATCTTCCTAGACTAAGATGCGCTCCAGTTAGGAGCCATCGCGCCGTTCCGTGACGTCATCATGTCGCGCCTCTCAAAACTCCCGGACAGATCTTGAAGTTTGCCAAATCTCCGCAAGTAGTCTTTTTTCAGGTTAGGAAAACGGTTCGTCTAAGAGCCGTAGTAACAAATTTCATTGTACCATCCGTGTTTCAGGATCAGATACCACAGCGAAAAAAAACTGAAGATTTAACTGTTGATTTAACATCCTGGATGTGAAGAAAGTGTGCGAGAACTTCAGAAATGCTGGATTACCCGCTCCAGCAGTTACTTTAGCAATACCGAGATGTAAAACTAACTGCTGTGGCGGACAATTCAGCAGTTTATAAGTTCTCGTACTTTTTTTTACATCCAGGATGTTAAATCAACTTCACTTTTTTCGGTGTATAACTCCGATCACTGAAAAGCAACGATATGCCCTTAGAACCCTCAATTTCGAATCTTAAATGCTCTGGCTTCACGAACCTGTCCTCAAAAAATCATGCCGATTTTATAGTCCAGCCTGGGCTCCTTCAGGCAAAAAGAAGCCAAAATTTTAGTCACAGTACGATGTACTACTTACCGTGGCGCCACACACTAGTAAAAATCTGTGATTATAAGTTATCGTTTTCTTAAAGCCATCCGCCAGAACGATTGCAGCTAAATGCACTAACACTATAGAAGAGCACCGTTGGAGAATTGAATTCCTGCCGAATTTTTCCCGATGAAATCCGTATTTTTTAGAACAGTCGCCCATAATTGTCCTTAAAATTTCAGATAACTTGGATTAAATCACGAATCGCATCCTCTGAAAACAGGAGAGAAAAAGAAAATTGACAAATTTTCCGGGAAATGTGTGTTTTATGAAGTGAAATTCGGTGACATCAGGATGTTCATACGGCTTTTTCCCTCAGTAGGTACAGAATACATAGGTGGTTCTGTCTTTCAATTTTCAAATTTTAAAACTCTGTCGGCTATTATCTTGGTTCCTCTCGGCTTAAAGTAATCCGAATGTCAGTGAACAAGATGGATTCTTTACCATATTTTACGAATCATCAGATAATATTGAAAGTTTTTGAATTTTCATTCTCCCATACTGCCGCGTGCTAAGGAAAAACGTCATATGAGTATTCGAGAGTTGCCAAATTTTCTTTAATTGAATGTTTGTTTTTTAAGAAAGTTATGAATATTTTTCTTTGACATTTTCAGGGACTTTAGGTGAAATTGCAAACAAAACTATCTGAAAAATTGGAAGGAAAATATTCATAAGTTTACCAGGAAAATCGTGTTTCATCAAAGAAAATTTGGCAACGCCAGAAGGTCTATACGGCTTTTTTTCCTTGGCACGGCAGCATAGGTCAACATTTTTCGGTAAAAAAGTGATTTTGCAGCTCAATTCGGCAACTCGGTCGGTCATTAATTGGCGTGATTCCGCAGCGAGCGCCTCGGTGCATCGATCGGATTACGGCCAGTACCTGGATTTGCTCGATTATTTTTGGAAAATGGAGCCGAGGATCGAATTTGAGACCATATTTCACGTGGCTCCAGGGGAGCATTGTTGCCAGACCCTCAAAGTTGTCGACTTTAAATCGGTGTAATAAACAAAGTATAAGATTAATGAAGACTATCTGAGAACAATGCATCTTTCATAAGTTATTTGTTGCATATTCCAGATATACGCTCGGCCTAGCTAGTAACTTTAGTGGCGGCCATGAATATATATCGCAGGCATTTATCAATTTTAGGCGAATAGCCATCTGCCTAGGCGAATGCGAAGGAAGAAGCGGCGGCCGTGTGGCAGCCTAGGCAAATAGCAAGCCGCCTAGGCAAACAGCAAACTGCCAAAAAAATTTCCAGGGAAACTTTCCTCGTACATTTCTCTCTCCTTAAGGCGTTTTATTTGGTACATATGTCGCAGGAATTTAACAATTTTAGGCGAATAGACATCTGCCTAGGCAAATAGGCATGATTGCTACATATATTTGCCTAGGCAGATGTCTATTCGCCTAAAATTGTTAAATTCCTGCTACATATGTACCAAATAAAACGCCTTAAGGAGAGTGAAATGTACGAGGAAAGTTTCCCTGGAAATTTTTTTCAGTTGTGTGCATAATAGTTGCATGCGTAATATTTTTGAACACGACATGACGGAAACCGGTTGCATGGGCAAAAATTGAATAGGCTACGGTTTTCTGTATTTTTTTCTCCAACTAAATGATTTATGCTTTAGAAATGCGATTGAAATTCGGCCACACTTGTGTTTTCTACAATAATCTCGGGAATTTCTGACTGAAAATCCCACTGATTTCTCTTATCAGAAAAACTTTGGACAAAAATCACACGGGTAGGTTCTTGCAAAAAGCTGAACTTTTTAAGTCTGTTTCGCAACCTTGAATGCATCCCAGACTGCACCTACTGCTCTTTTCCGTATCACGACAGCACTGTGCACATACTGTTCCTCTCGATATCAACACAGTATGTAATTTGGTGTGTTTGAATTACAGGCGGCCACGATTGGAAACGGAGGTAGAGCTGACTCCGGGAACCGAGTTGACGGGAGCAGCTTTTCTGGACAGCTCAGCGGCCAAACATAAACTCTCCGTTCGGCCGCCCGACCGACGACCCAGTCTCAAAGGCCGATCCAGATCCGCGTCTCCAGCACCCCCGGCCGTAAATGCAAGGTGAGTTCCATCAAAAACTTTTAAACCGCTTTTTTTAAACTCTTGAACCGGTTCTTTCATTCTTAGGCCTTGTCTAAACGAACCGTTCCACGGGATTTGTTCCAGGGAAAAATCCAAGTCGAGAAAAATATCCTGCCGTGCTAAGGGAAAACGCCGTATGAACATTCAAATGTTCCCAAATTTCCTCTCAGAAAATATTTATTTTTGAAGGAAATATTCATTTTTGAAGAAAATATTTATTTTTGAAGGAAATATTCATTTTTGAAGAAAATAATGAATAGTTGTACTTTAACCTTCGAGCAATTCAGATCAATTAACGAACGAAATTTTCTTAAAAATCTGGAGAAAAATATTAATAAATATTCACAAACTTTGAGACGTTCTTAGAGACGTTGATATGGGTATATGTTGTTTGGCCGGAGAGGTCCCCAAATAGATAATACTTTTATAATATCGATCGTTTTTTCGTATTTTTTAAGGACATACATTTTTAATGGTGATAATTATGCCCAGTTACGTAGTCACCGTGTCCGTCAAAATTAAGGTTTGTTTTGAGGAAATTCTATCTTGCTAAGAAAAAAAGGTTTACGAACACTACGATGGTGCCAAATTTTTGCTGATAGAAATACCTAAACATAACTAAACTACCTGAACCTAAAGTCTCAACACTCATACAAAAATGCCTACCTGCTAATTGGTAGCGTGACCGTGACATTTGCTCAGGAAAATTATTGGTTCTATTTTGAAATTATACTTGGGTAAATTTAGCAAACTCGTGATGTTCATATTTACTTCCGTGATTTAGAGTGCAAAATTCTCAACTCTAACCGCTGAAATGTACACCCATATCGCCCTGCGATGGAAAAGATTTAAGGTTGCTTCATTTAAAACTAATAAATACGATGCTAAGAGGCAGGTCTCGAAATGTTTTGCTTGGTTTACGGCTGTCGTGAATGAATTTAAGTGCGCTCGTAAAGACATTAATGGTCTGTTGAACATGCAGCAAATTTTGGAGGTGTAGCCCCCGACAAGTGAAAGTACACGAGACCGGACTTGTCATATCTCGAAACCTGACTTCTACAAGTTATTATTCTTCCGTGTTTAGCAAACGTAGATCTTTAAAAGATAATCCTGAATTATTTCAATAAAACTGCGTCATTGCTTTGGTAGAAAAACATGTAGCTACGTTTTAAGAACTAATATGAAAATTCCTTTTTTAAATAAAATTTAATGTATTAGCGTAGTTTGTGGGCCCAAAGTTACACACGAGCATGTCTCAAAAGTTTTTCCTATCCGACGAAAAATTATCGCCTCAATTCGGTTGTTTCATTTCTTGAAAAATGTTTCTTACCTGTAATGAATAGCTTTTAAAACCAGCCGATCAATTAATGGTAATTATTAAAATTAAAAATTATTCAAAAATCATAACATTTAGTTTTAAATTGTATTCGTATTGTGTAGCTAAAAAAAGAAGAAACATTGAGGTACAATGGTTCATTTATCCTTGGTAAAGGTCTCCTAATATTGAACGGGCACATAGAGTCACAACCTTTCCGGGAGAGGACATCCATCTTTTTTTTTTGGGGGGGGGGGAGGCCCCTGTCCCCTGGAACCTGTATGGGGTCCGCTAAAGCCTACGGAAGTGTTATTTCCGTGACTTTTAAATTGACTCCAATTTTTCTTTTCTTCTTTTCTGCAAATGCAAAATAGTATCGCAGAGTGGCACCTGCCTTTTGAAAGCATTGTGGGGCAACCGTATGAAGCTCTCCTCGAAAATGCGGCAACACTGCGGCGAAAAAATACGAAGAGGCAACGCGGCACGGAAAAGGTGTATAGTGAAGAAAAGGTCATTCAGATTTACGACCCACATAGAGCTAATAACAGAGTCAGACTCGGAACAGGCACCCGGCCAAACGTGGACCAGACGGATTCGCTAAACCACACAAGAGACCAAAATTCAAATTTTCGCGCCGTAAAATCAAAATTTCGAAATCTCAAAGCTTGCCTGCGCCTGTGCTCTCTACATGAACAATTTCAACAAACCGATGGGCCGTTTTAGGCTGTCCAAAAATCTTACCGTCAATATTTCATCAATTTTTTCTCGCCAGACTTGAATCAGTATTTGTTGGAGGACACGGTTACCTTCCTCCATAGAGCGTACCATTGAGTGTTGATAGGAAGGGGGGGGGTCTCAAACAAAAATGTTGCCGCTTGGGTTCTGATTATATAATTTTTTAAACAATACGCAATTGGACCGAGTTTAACAGAAAGGAACCAACCAACATAAAGTTGAAACCGAGATGAAGAGATTTAAAGTTTTATTTCTCCAAAAGGCTCAATGTAAAAAAATGAACTTTCGCCCCTCTAAACACAGGCTAACTTTTTTTCTCGACTTTGAGTTTTTTGCAGGGGAATTGATACGACTTTTGAGACTCAAAAACATTCTTAACTCAATTTTTTCGACAACGTAGGCTGAATTCTTTCTAATGAACTCGGTCCAATTAGGTAATGTCTGATGAAAGAAATTCTCGCTAATCATACCTATCTCCTTCCTCTAACTTCCTCAATCTTTAATCTCAATCATCTTCTAATCATATTAAAGTAAAATTTAAAGGATGATGGCTCTCTAAAACAAAAGTCTGATGCTAGATAAAGTAAATATTCTCATAAAGTTTGCAATACTGGCTAAAACAACATCAAACACATATTGAGTCTTCTCTTGGGCTGAAAGCTCCGTGATCTTGGCCTCCTCTCGTCGATGGAGGCGCATCTATCAAAACAGAGCTGCTAATATTGAAACCTCATTTAAATTCTGACCTTTATTGTGTTTACGCTAACTCATCAATTGGCAATGACCACAACACCGAGCATGAAGCTGCTTGACTATATGCTTTTTTCTTTCTTTTTCAATAGCTAGTGTGGAATTATAGTCCGTCCTTCTACAATCTGAATATTTCAAATTTGATGCCGCTTGAACAGTACCGGTTCTTTCCTCTTCAGACCTTTTATTATCACATACATATTGTAAAACTAGAAAAAAACGTCCCACAATCGCAGCGCATACATACAATATCGTCCCTTCTTGTTGATTTATCTTTTTCAATAAAGGATTTTAATTGTAGTAGGAAGTTTAGAAGTCTTGAGACTCTTGTGAGACCATTTTTGCATACATCGTAAATTGAAGGCAAAAACACCGGCTTGTAGTTGACTCAATAGGTTGATACTACTAATACGGCTCTTGTGGATCTGCTCATGCCTACTCTAAGAAATGGGTATTAAAAAGAAACATTTTGAGAGCAAGATTTCCTAATTTCTGGGAGACGCAAAGTGAGGCAAAAAGTATTCATCTTTTAAGATTTAACAATTATTTATCCGTCATTTCATTCAATGCCTTATTCTTTTGCTATTTTTAACAGGGAATAGCTCGATATGTAACTCAAAGAGCAGTCAATTTGAACGAGTTTCGGATCTTACAGATCGTGAACATTTACGGCGGAATACAAGCCTGATCGCTACAAAACATCGTAAGATCAGACTTCATCGATTGAAACCCGATAAAATATCAATAACTAATCCGTTAACTAAAGGCAAGAAAATGTTACTAAAACTTAGAATAAAAAAGAGGATTTACATACAAATATTATCTTTTCTCCCATCATTGTGGGAGAAATGTCGAAATTTATTTTAAAATCTCTTTTCGTGTATATTTGGCGGCAGTGCTCGAACTCTGATCGTTGAGGTTAGCTGTCAACGGTCGACGTGGGACGTGCGCGCGAAAAATTATCCGCAAGTTTATGAAATTTGCGAAAACGAGAGTGTTAGAGTCTCGTGCCCCAGCGGCGCCTAATGCAAATGCTAAAATTAGAGAAAGAGGAGGGCAGAAAGTGACATTTTTCTCTCTTTAATTTTTGTCGAATGGACTAAGTTCATCAAGAAGGGACCATGTTCACAAACACATTCTTAAAACACCTATTCGCACATGGAAATCCCATGTAGAAATGTCGTTTTCAATGAAAGCTGAGAAAGTTGTTTACTCACTGCGGAACTCGACCTGAACGTTGTAAAACCAAGGGGTATTCCAGGAATCACGGTCTGTAAATAAATAGCGTCTGCCGGAAAGGAACCAAAGTGCAGGAACGCATTAAAAAAACCACCCATCTGCACAGGGACTCCATGTCAGATACGGCGTTCCTAGAATTGGAGTAAAAAAGTCCCTCTTTGTAGCGAAACGGCGCGACGTTCATATGCAAGATATTTTTTTGTCTGAATATGTGAAAAGATAAATTTATGAGAAAAAAAATTCAGAAAAAATTGAATAATGATACTGAAAATGGAAAATAAAATCATTTTATACGAGTATCACTGAAAAAGTTATAATCCAACAAGTGACCCCAAAATTATCTTCTGAGTGAAATGTGTGGAAACGATATGGGATTTTACTCTTCAACTATTCAATGACCATAAATTTTTACCTGTGATTTCGTTCATTCAGTTTACCGGACATAAGCGTATTTTCAAAGTTTTGAATATGCTATACTGCTTAAACAATTGTTATGCATGTATTTTTTTATCAAAATTATTTCAGAGGAACTAAACCCAGTATTTTAACACCCTATTCTCCCTCCATTAAGAGAAAATACCGTTGCAATAACACACCAAAATCTAAATCGTTGCCAACTTTGTTTCCGTGAGTTCACTTTCACCCTCTTTACGTGTGAATCATAGTTTTAGATTTGGTTCTGATAATCTCGTTATGGTCCATTCGTGCTTTGAATTCCACATAGTTCATCATCACTACGACACCATCACACAATCGTGCTTTGTTATTGTACTTGCTATGTATGCATAATGCAGTCCGTTCTGCTGTTTTTGATTGTGGGCCAATTTTGAGTAATTGTCATTTGAATTGAAATCGCATGGTCAAACTGGGTCAGGTGGACAAAACCTCATCAACGGCTCATTCATGCCGTCACTGTTTCAAAATAGAAAATGACGTAAGA